CATCCGGGAGTAGCTAGAGAAGGCGGATCCGCCCCACGGACATAGACAGTGGTTCCATCTCCATGAATATAGCTCTTGACCAGGAAATCCAGAGGGGAACTCTTCATTCCTGGACAAACTCTGGTCAGATCCTCAGAGAGACCTTGAATCATGCCGGCGACATCAACTGATGTTGGCTGGCCAGGAGTAACCGGAAACCCGCGAGTCGTAGCAGCGGCTACCCGAATCGGGGCATCACCTGGGGAGCAATTGGGGACCAGGACTTCGAACCCCAGTGGAGGAATGTTCACTGCGAACGGTGAATCAAACTGGACAGCGGCTGAGGCATCAATTGCCATTGCGCCTTGCTGTCCTGGATCTTCCGCATCATGGACGTTGAGATTCGTGATGTTAACAGTGGGCAAAGAAGGAAAGTCGCCCTCTAAGACAGAGTTAGAAACATATGCGACGATTCGGAATAATGTGACAACCAACCTTCAATAGTGAGGGAGTCAGAAAGGAACTGCTGGCCCAGGCTGAGGAATCCCGACCTGATATCAAGGCTTGCTGTTCCTCTGACCGTCAGCTTCTCGAGCTTCCCATTCAACCAATCCAATGCCACGTTGTGAATTCCCTCGAAGTCCCCAGGCACAAAGTCTGCCAGGAAATTGACATGGTTTACATGACCATTCTGAATGTTGACCTTGACGGAAGGTAGGTTGGCCGTGCCTAGAAGAACGTTCCCATACTCTGGGAGATATAGTTCGACTTCCGAGTGGCCGGATTCGGCCTCCCTTCCGATCCAAGTGACAAAACGGCCAATGTCCCGCACTGGTTTCTTGTGTACGCGCCGCGCATCGAGCACCACGTCCCCTTGTATTCGAGCTTGAAGGCCATCTGCAGTGGCTGATTCAATCGAGACATTGGTGGGCTTAAAGACCACCGCCTCCTTGGCGTATTCCTTGACGGCCGCTGGGGCGATAAAGGCGAAGATGAGGATGGCGACTACAGCAGCCACAGTAAGGAGAGCACAGAAGATCGGCCATCGTATACGTCTACGACGTTTCTTGAGCGTCTCACTGGAAGAGAGACTTCGAGGTCGGACAGACGACGGCCTCCTGGAGCCAGTCCCGCCGTATCCCAGGAGATCGTCATCGTGACGGACGAGGAGAGGGGTTGATTCAGAAGATAGCTCATACGGACCCGGCTCCGAATCTGGGGGATGGGAAGCTTTGCCAATGGACGTTGGGGAGCGATGAGGCGAGATAGGTCGTGGCTCTTGCTCTATCAGAGGCCGGCTTGCCTCCTCAGCCATGGTGGCTGGGCGCTAGGGAGCGGGGAGAAGATCGGGGTTGGGGAACGACAAAAATGGCACACTCCGAAGAGCAACTAGAGAGATGAAGACGAGTTGTGGCAAGTTGGATGGAAAGTGAGTGCTTGGCAGAGGGGAGGGGGTAATCGGAGGAAATAAATACGTAGCGGGAAGGCCAGAGAGAGAGGCAATGATGGGCTGAGGGAGGGAATGGCGTTGAAGGAGTGACAAGTTGACAGGGCAGAGTGATTGGGTACGTGGAGAGCATCCCGGCCAGTCCAGTCCAGTCCGGCTGATCGTCAACGTAAGTAAGGCTGGTCCGGGCGGTGTGGGGATGGCATTCATTCACTTTTCTCCCATCAATTAAATTATCAGGAAGTTAGTCAAGGTGAGGCAGATTCTTACTAACTCATCAAATGATTCGATGATCTGCTGGAATCGGTAAGCCCTAGATCTTGTTGCTGCCCTACTCGGAGATTTTCTGAATCATACTGGGATTATCCAGGCAACCCGATTTACTTTGGTCGAGTCCCCAACCAAATGCGGGCCAGTAAGTAGTATCACTTCGCGTCACTATAAATACTATACTGTCACGAGCTGCTTGGTAGGGGATTATATACTTATTTAATCAATGTGGATTTGAAAGTCAAATAAACTACATTCAGAGTGGAGGCCCTGGATGTTCATGATTAATCTCGATAGACTGCATAAGCCGGAGTAGTGCGGTACTAGATACTAGTCAATAACGGACAACAGATAGCAGCGACCAGTTAGATAGAATACTGGATGACGAGACACTAACGCCCTTTCCATCCAACCATGCTTTGCCTCAATTAAGCTTATAATTAGTTAACCTGTAAGCAAGAGATCAATGGATATCTTCAGGTTGTTGAAGTCAAGTCATCCGGAAGTCATGAAATTGATTGCCCGCATTTTCACATGCCATTCCGCGCACGGGCGCCCCCTTCAAGCTCCAGCCGAAGGTGGTTCGATCATCACGATCTGGGCTTAATAGCCCATTGTGCCCTCTCTCCCATCATCTTCCATCAACTTTCCCACCTCATTTGTCTTGAATACTTCCCCGCAAAAGATCTTCCGGTGACCCGTGTGGTCCTAACGCCTTCATGGATGTGAGTGAACCCTTGCCCCAGATCCACCCCCACAATCACTCACTAACTTTATCCCCATCAAACATCAGTCTTCACAATCTCAAGGCGGGTTTCGATCACGCCGTTCATATCCCGCCTTACACCATGTATCTCTATCTCCACTAAACCCTCGATTCCCCATCGACGACGACGATACCGATGCCCCAGACTACTTCTCTCCTCGCCACGAAATCCCCGGTACCCCCAGCGCAACCAGGACCTCGTATCTCTCTAGTTTCTCCGTCCCCGGAACCCCAGGCGTCCTATCCCACTCTCACTCCCGTAGCGGGTCCCGCGTTCGTCGCCATTCCCGAAGCAAGAGCTCCACTCGCATCCATTCCAGCGACACCAATCTACAATCCCGGAGCGTGGCCAGTCCACTCCATCACCAGCAGAATGAAGAGCTCCGCCGGAGCAGAACACGCTCCTCCCGGCGTCACCCCGATGCCGCCGCCCACCATCACAACCCAGACACAGAATGGATGCTCCGCGCAGGCATTGCCCTCGCATCCTCGACCCGCGAAGAAAAGGGTCAGAGCTGGCTCGTGAAACGCCAAAGCTCAACCAGCCTCGTCTCAGACAGCCATCAAATCGACCTAGACAGTCAACAGCAACCACAGCCATGGGCTTCACGGAGCAGCGCCCGTCGTTCTCAATCCGGCATATCCACACCCGCCGCCTACTCTCGTCGAGCCTCTCGCTCAGGCCCAACAAGCCGCAGATCCAGCAGACCCGACCTGGCCATGACCAGTCTCGACATAACCCGGTTTTCCAGCAGACAAGAAAACCCCACTACGACCAGCAGCAGTGGCCTTCACACCCCCATCGAAGAACAAACCCGTCACATGCTCCCCGATTTCGTGGACGAGCGCATCCGCGCCGAGATGGCAAACATAGCCGACGAAGAAGAAGATGAAGAAGAAGAAGAAGACAACCTCAGCTTCACAACCACCTCGGACTCCCACATTGCCTCCGAAGATGAAATAGACGAACAAGAATTCCAGCGTCTCACCCGCGAACGAGGCTTCGGACTAGGAAGCTGGATCGACCGAATGGTAGAATGGACCTTATTCGGTGTCGACGACTGGCCACTCTCCACAACGACAGCAACCACCGCTCCACCGGCAGTAATATCAGGAGGGGCCATCAACCACGACCCTCAATCTCTCATGCATGAGGACATCCATTCCCAAGAAACAGACACCATATCCATAGCCACAGAGTCAGACATCGCATCCATAAGCGAAGAGAAACCCGGAACTCGCGGCGGATGGGAAGATGCCGGGTGGTTGTTCAGGATTGTGAAACGGGCATTGTCATGAACGGAAAAAAGGAACACGAAACATAACAGGACTAATTTCAACACTTTACTTCCATGTTCATTGTCTATCTTATCTAACTATGGATGGATCCCTCTCTTCTTCGGGAGAATACAATCACCACTAATAGCAAGGTATATATATATCTATACATATAGGGCAACCAATAACATCATGTAAGTACTAAGCAGGCATAAGCAGGCATAAGCATTGAAGCTGCCTATGTAAATACTTACCTAAGTAAGTAAGTACAAGACAAGGGTCAGTTACTACATGTTGACTTCATCATTTCTTGATTTCTCATCCTGCACGACGCTCTGCGAACACGTAAGTGCATACGTAGACCCCCATGCTGACATGGCCAGTTAGTTTCGGCATTCGTGGTTAGCGTACCGGCGGGTTGATACGTTGATAGCCGTGTACTAGTAATCACGTAGTTGGGGAGGGTTGTCTACGGTGTCTGTTTCATTGAAAGTTGCTTTTGAGTTTTCACTACTATGGGATGAATACTTAGTACTACCGGTTGTAAGTGTTGGCGATGGAGTGGGCCTGATCTTAAGGGAGTTACTGGTTAGGCAAGATATATATCTGCAGTGCGAGGTGGGTTTCCTAATTGTGGAACATTAGCAGGAGGATGAATGATCATAGCACAAGGATGTAACGAGAGTATCAGTTAGTTGATAACCCGAGACGGCTCGGGAGGGTTGGTTCTCGTGGTATTGTGACTATCTGGACAATGATGCTCCCTTTTTCTTATGCTTTACTGACATGTAGTGTAACCCGTCCCACCAAATGAAAGAGGCCGCCCAAAACCCGAAGAATATACCTGACACCAGTGATATTAAGGGGAAAATAGTAAAGGGTATACAAGATGGGGAAAAAACAAGGAAAATGCAGCTAGGCTGAAAGAATGAAGCGGTTTTTTTTTCCACGGCGGTTCGAGTATATATCGCCGAGACAGAAGAAGAACACATGAAGTGGAAGGAAATGATGATAGAAAGGAATGAAAGAATGTACCATGCTCGGCTGTGATAATGCAGGATCATGGTGCAATTTTGGGACGAAATGAAGGATCCTGGGCCTTGATCTGACAATCTAGAAATCATGGGTTTGGTGTCCAGAGATATGACACAGAAGGGGAAATAGGAAAATAAAACGGAAAAGAATATGTTTGCTTGCACACAGTAAAACGCCAAGCTGACCCTCAACTCTAGTTCATGCAGTAGGTAGTCGTGATCGTATCATACGTGGACGTGCACGGTCGAGGATTCGGACAGAGCCCTGAAGATTTGTAGGGCGGGAGAGAGTGTCGCGAAATTGATGTGATGGTTGGAAATGAGGATAAAGGCGGATTGCGGTTGTCGATGGTTGACCGGGTTCACCATGGCCCAACCTTGACGGGGGTACCGAGCCCGTATGTGCCCGACAGGAGTTGCTCCCGGATGGACCCAAGGTCATTGCCGCCTGGGCTTCCATAACCTTGGGCATCCGGTCTGTGCATCCATCCTAAACTGGAAGCCAGCTCGTTGACGGCTGCCTGCAGTTTACCGCCCGAGTTGTGATTGTGCTTCGCCAACTTCTGATCCCAACCACCGTACTGTAACTGAATTCCCCCTCCACGCTTAGCTGCTTCCCGAATCACCAAAATCCAAGCCTTGCAGATCTCGTCGTATGCGGAATCCCGCTCGAGGTTGTTCTGTGGTGTACTCCAACGGGGCAATGCGTGAATTATGTCGGTCGCACCATCCAGGTAACTCAAAGAAACAGACGACTGCGTCTCGTGAGGCGGTAAGAAGTGTGGAGTGAAGTCGCTCAAAGCATCTAGAAGATTTCCCAGTGGTTGTCGGACACGATTGTATGCATAATCTGATTCGGAGTTGCCACCGAGTGGGAACGACGACTGAAGGGCGGATTCGTAATGTCGCAGGACTTGAAGGGCAGATGCCACACTGGGTCGAGGTGCTGTGTGGACTACTTCATCAACCAAACCTGGATGACGCTCACACACAGTGCGGAGGATGCCCCGAAGAGCGTCTGTGTCCAAGGTCTCCAGCAGTCGGGGGAGAGCGAGAGGCCGTCCGCTGACATTTGGACGAGCACGCTTGATGTTTCGGTTTACTGGGAGGGTTCTCGGAGTCAAGGCGGGAGAGTTGGTAGGTGACGCTGACATTCGACCATCGTTATCATTCTCATCGTCGGCTTTCCGTTTGCGGTTGTTGGGAGTGTGAATGGGAGTAGACACTGATATCAGTCAGTCATCAAAGGTCATATAACAAGGGAGTCATCATCGAATGCACTGGAGGAAGATGGGGTAAGACTTACTTGGACGGGAGGGAGAAGGACGGGAGTATTCGTAAAAGTGATGAGGAGGCACAGGTGGTGTAGCCACCAAGCTGTTCATGATGACCACAAACAGCTGGATGGCAAAGGGAGAGAGAGGGGAGGGAGAGAGGTAGCGAGAGATGACGGGGGGGAAAGCAGAGATGGAGGGACCAAAGGTCAGCCAGGAGCACGAGGGAAAATATCAAAGGGAGGAAGGATAAGGAAAGCGAACAAGCAAGGGAAAGACGGAGTGCAGGATGGAGGATGAAGGGGAGACTTTCTGAAGTGGTGGGGAAAGAGAGAGAAAGACTGAGCGAGAAGCGGTGGACAGGCGGGTTGCGGGAGGCAACGCGGGCCTGAGATGCATTTCCCGCGGATCCATGACTCTGACTTGAAAGTCTGTGACTGCTCTTTCTCCTTTACCCTTTACCCTTTACCCACTTGCCTCAATGTGATCCACCCATTTCCACCTTGGAATCCTACCCTCTTCCTCCCTCCTGATTTGTGGCAAAAAAAACCATATTATCCCAGGCTCTGCGCCTGCTGCATCTAACATGGCCCTGCTCTGCACCACTTACAGCTCCCCAAGGTCCGCATGACCCCAACTCATCAAGCGTCAACTCTAAAACCATCCGATAAACGGAGCATCTTGTCAATGACTGAAACAGTCAACCGGACTGTTCCACCGCGTGGCCGTCTTGGGATACGGGACCAACCATTTATCAATATCCCCTGATGCTACCATCATTTCCATATTTTCATATTTGCTCATCCAAGCTCGCAATATCCTTTCAACATGCTGTGCTTCTCGAAAAAGGTTACATGCTAACCCTGTGACGCTGTTGTGACTATGTCTACGTCTGCAGCTCCAAATTTCTGCCACCCCGGATTAACATTCATCTGCACTACTTACCCCAGAGCAGGAATGATCCTCAAGCTGTAACCTGGTCAACCTTGCAGATAACGAACCCTGGGGGTCTTGGTTTAGTGGAACATTGAACTAACGTTGTCCAGCTACCCTGGCATCCGGAACTGGGTCTTATCAACACTGTTCGGGTTTAGTTCTGCTGCCTCCTTAGTCTGCATATATGTCTATACGTCATTGGAACTAAGTCAACGCCTGGCTAAAAGATTAGTCCAACTACGAACTCATATACTGAACCCAGAAAATCCCGGGGCGGGCTTACGGTCCAACGCCATGACATTTCCTAGTAACTTCCAGCGAAACGCCTCATTCGCGGTAATCAGCAATGAGATTGCGCTCATCTGAAACATATTTCCGTTGAACACAGCATCATGGTAACCTCGCCGTATTCCAGACACTCTCATTGAACTATCCCCAAGCCACTCGGTCGACAAGTAGGCGATGGCCAGTCTGACACTTGCTCTTGTCTGGACTATTGTTTGGGGCTATCTTCCAACCATCTGAGACTGTGTCAGGTCGTAGCAGGTCCAAGAAAATTCCGATGGCTTACTGCTGCAAACGACAACCCCGAAAGCATAGACACCTGGCTCTGGACTATCTGACATATGACCAACCATTTGTAGAATTGTATCACTTAGTATACTCTCAATATGACAATAAAGAATGAGACCGAACCTCACAATAGCACAGCCAATCTCAAAAGAAACACAAGAAAACAATATTGCGCCTCCACCCAATGCGCATAATAAACACGCATATTAGCACCAACCTTCCCTACTATTATCACACGATTGAGGACGAAGTAAAGCCTCCAATCAACCAACCCATAGTCCCAATAAAACCAAGCCAACGCCCAGCAGTGTCAAGCACCGACAACCATGATCCAAGCACAAAGAAAACATACATACACTGCAACATCAACAAATCTTACTATTTCCCCAGTCGTTCGTATCACAAATACAGACCGGGGGTAAGATTACCGGTCGTTGGCTTCATTTTAAATGAACAGTGTCTGAGTCTGAGAGTGTCATTGGGGTGCCTAAACACCATTCCCCTCACATATATGCACATGGAGCAGCAACGGAGCCGCGATTTCTGGGAACGGGGTTGCGTTTGAAGACGAATAAAATGTGTTCCAGATAGAAGGTAACACTGTGTGGCACGGGTACTACTGGGTACTAGTCAAGATAGATGGAAGTGGATGATGATGATGGTATGAAGCATAATGATACTGTCGCTTCTTGATGTAGTCTTAGAAATATTGTTGTGTACATCTGATGGGCTCAGGTAACAGAAAGCGAGTAGGAAAAGTAAGATGAAAAAGGGAATGAGATATCTCATTTACAGAGAGTAAGAAAAAAAGAAAAACGAACAACAAAGCCAAATCCTTTTTGGGAAGCCTGACGCCAGAAAAATGCGACCACCCAGACATACCGCGCAAACCATCCTTTACAACAGAGGTGATGATGATAATGATAAATGAGGAGGACAAAACTGACCCAAGGGCAAAGATAGATAGATACAAGAACTACTAATGGTAGGTAGCAGCAGTACCTTAGAGATACAAGGACTGGGCAGCGACAATGTCCCTGCGCACCTTGGTCAAGGCTGTCTCGAATTTACCCTCCAAATCTTCGCTTCCCATGACCTTGGCTGCCTGCGCCATCTGTCGGAGACACTCTTCCAATCGGCGGAAGACGCGAATCAGACTGCCTTCGTAGACGTCGGTCATTTTGCTGCATTAGGGAGAAAAAGAACCAGTCAGCAATCTAATACTACCACGGCAAAGAAAAATGGCCGCGAATGGTGGACATTAAAACTTACCAGATGTCAGCAAAAGACTTGCCGTTCGCCCATTCGAAGATGACCTCCATCAACTCCCAGTGGAAACCTTGCACGTATTCCTCCTCGTTGACCGCCAACTTGGACTCCTGGGAGACCTTGGCGACGATCCGAGCTTGCGCTTGGATCTCCCTGAGGGGCTTCGCGAGGTCTTCCCGTGTCAGAGCAGGGGTCTCCTTGGTCTTCTCTTCAAAGACGAAGACGCTCAGGGCAGATGCCACTTGCTCCGGCGTAAGGTTATTGAAGAAACCGTTGAAGAGAAGTTCACTGAGCATCAACTCGTCACCTGTACTAATTTCACAGGCAACGCGCGCCTTCAATTGTACAACTTCGGCCTCATTGATAAATCCGAATCGACGCAGCACACGCTTACGGCATTTCAATTCTTCGAGTTGCATGATTGCCATAGCATCCGAGATCTTCTTCTTGGTCTCCTTGATCTTGTTTCCCAAATCCACCTTCTCAGAGTACTGATTGTATAGTTCGGGTAAACGTGGCGACTCGTGCAGGGGATTGGAGAGAAGACGGGACTCCAGAACCTCGATTTTCTACAACGCCAATTAGCCAACAGTGTCACTTCTTTTGTGAAGTACTGGATACTTACCCTAAGCGTCTTTTTGAACTCGTCATCCTTAATACCCATGTTCTCAATAGGATCAAGAGTGGCAATGCCATCCGGGAAGCGCTTCTTCACTTCCTCCAGGGTGTTCTTCAGGTTGTTCCGTGTGTCATTTGGCTTCAAGTCTTTGGGAAGACGGAGGCAGACATGCGCAATGCTCTGGATACAGCTGAGAACAACTGGCACGACCTCCATGCGGGATTTTTCATCCTCCTTGGGTGGTCTGACGCCAGCTGGTAGGTCCTCGAATGATTTGGTGCCCACGGAATCTCCGTCGGCAATGTTGAGGAGCACATCAACCACATGTTTCTGATGATCATTGTACTCTTCAGTCGCATTCTTCGGTGGCTTGCGATGCTTCCAATTGACAACGATACCCCACCCAAACTCCATGTCCTTGTGCTTAATCTGAACCAAGCGCCCGGGCGTCATGTATGACAGGCAATGCTCGGGATGGCTCATCACTGCTTGGACATCATCGCCGAATTTGCGGAGCTGTTTACGCAGATCGTAGTACTCGCGGATGGTTCCTTCGTCGGGAATGTTGAGATTGGCACGCTTCTCCTCCATCTCCGTAAGTTCTATAGCACAATTAGCAAGCGACATGCGATAAAGCTGGGTGTAAGGACGCACGTTTCTCAAGCTCTGCGACACCGGCGGTGTTCTGGAATTGGTAGAAACACTTTTCCAACATGAACTCAGGTGAGATGCCTTCTACACGCATGAGGTTGAGAATCATGTTGTAACCCAAATGGAAAGCCGAATTAAGTCGATCCTGTTCACCACGAACAATTTCCTTCGCCACGGCGGGGTCCATCTCCTCACCGACCATCATGATAACGATACCGCGATCATCAAGACCTCTTCGACCAGCACGGCCAGACATCTGGATAAACTCTGAAGGTGTGACCCAACGCTGGCTGAAGCCGTCGAATTTTCGAACGCTTGTGAAGACGACAGTTCTCGCAGGCATGTTAAGACCGATGGAGAACGTCTCAGTGGCGAAGAGTACCTTGATCAGACCTTCCTGGAAAAGAATCTCAATCGTCTCCTTGAGGATAGGGAGCAGACCAGAGTGATGGACGCCAATACCCCTGCGAAGAAGAGGCAAGATGTTCTGGATCTGGGGCAATTCCCTGTCCTCCTCGGACAACATTTCGATCGCGCTGTCAAAGACCTTCTGAACCATCTCTTTCTCAGAATCGTCGTTGAAGGCTAAGTTCTTCATTTGCAGAGCACAGCTCTCACATTCGCGCTTGCTGAAACTGAATACAATGACAGGGTTCAGGTTCTTGAGCATGACCATCTTCACAATCTTGAAAATGTCGCTCTTTTCCTGGGTGCCACCCTTGTTCAACCTCTTGTCCTTGCCCTTTCCTTTCCGCTTGGCCATCGCATCTGACGGGTCGTCACCCCTCTTGTCGGCGATACTGCTCATGGCCTTCTGGAAATTCTCCTCACGGAATACTCCCTTCTCATCCACAACCAGATGCATACCTTCCGATCCATTGGGGAAGAAGTAGTGTTGTAGTGGCGTCGGCCGGAAATCGGTATAGACGACGTGGCAGGGTTGGTTGTGCATCTTCGTTACCCATTCGGCGAATTGCATAGCGTTAGGGATGGTGGCAGACAAGAATACATATCGAACCTTGTCGGGCAACAAGATGATGGTTTCCTCCCAGACAACACCTCTGACTATAGCGTAAATCAGTATCCAGTAAACTAAGGCGGAGATCGATTAGACATACTCGCATCACGCATATAGTGGATTTCATCGAAAATGACCCAGGCAACTTCGCGCATAATCTCAGAACCCCGGTAGAGCATGGACCGCAAAATCTCAGTGGTCATGACCAGGCAAGTGGCTGTTGGGTTGATGGTAACATCTCCAGTCATCAAGCCCGCATCTCCAAATTCCTCGGCAAACTCTCGGTACTTCTGGTTACTCAAAGCCTTGATTGGACTCGTATAGATAACTCTCTGGTTGTTCTTCAAACATTGCGCAATGGCGTACTCGGCGACCACGGTTTTTCCGGCACTAGTATGAGCTGAAACCAAGACACTTTCTTCTCTCTGGATCGATGCAATCGCGACTTGCTGGAAAGGATCCAAAGTGAATGGCCACACTCTGGCTGGGGTCTCCGGCGGCTTGTGTTCGGAAATGGGCACGTATGGGTACTTCGGCGGGATGGCGACCTGATGCCGCACCTGGTGGGACAACTTGACAGAGGTAGAATCGTTGACGCCTTGAAGGCCTGCCGATCCCGCGACTTCGCGCTCCTGCTCCGTCTCAAATGAGTCCGCTACCACAGGCTCCGGTTCCTTCTCGAGGCGCGGGCGTTTCGCATCCGGTTGTTCATTGTTGTCGGCGGCGGGGCTTTCTTCGTCCTCCTTCGCTTCTTCGACTTCTTCTTCGACGGCAGGCGCATCCGTGATCTCAATATCCTCAGGGGTTTCCGTAGGGTTTTCCGTAGCAGCACCGTCCTCCTTCACGTCGCCATTGACCTGTCGCTTCTTGCTCTTGTCTTTCTTCGCTCGCTTGGGAGCTCCGTCCGCAGGCCTAACGGCCTGAGGCTGGTCCTCGAAGACGTCGAAAAGCTCATCCATCGTCGACAGTCTGCCACAAAGGACGCGGGAACGCAAACTGGCCTGGACGGGTGGTTGACGTTCTGGACCGTCTCACAGAAGAGCGATCGCACCGAGAAATTTCAATGAACCCGTGAAGGGAAGCCGCGTGTGATTGGCCCAGACCTCGCAAGGCGGTGAATGGCTGCCGGCGAAACTTGCCGTTCGGAACAGTAAATCACGTGAGCGGACAGCCGGGGAGCAGCCGGGAGTATCGTTCCACTCGACTTGCTCGCACCTCCGCCCGTTGATATCAGTAGGATTGTCTCGACCGTCGTGCTTCTCTGCCTCATTCAAAGTGGGTGAAACCCATTGTCCTCCATATCCCATCCAGTCAATTGCCTCTAACCCAGCTCAAGATGTACGCTGCTACCGCCCTCCGCGCCAGAATGGCCACCTCCTTCGTTGCCCGTCGTGGCTTTTCCACCACCCGCGCTCAGCTCGGTAGCCCTTACCACTACGCCGAGGGCCCTCGCTCCAACATTCCCTTCAACCCCCTGACCAAGTACTTCTTCTGGAGATACTGGGCTTTCATGGGTATGTGGCCCGATTGGTTGCTGTGATCGTTGCGACTCGGACGTCTTGCTGACTTGCTTACTCTAGTCACCGGTTTCGGTGCCCCCTTCGCCATTGCTGGTATGTTACCATTCGTCCTGCGGCAGTTTACGTTCGTCTATCTAACATATTCATTCCTACAGTCTGGCAGACCTACAAGACCCGCTAAACGCTCTCTCGTGCTGTATTTCCACATGCAATGGCATTGTTGGGCATTGGCGGCTGGTCGAAAATGTATCCTACGTTGGAAGCGCTCGGAATTTGTGTATAAAGCTAGAGAATTTATTATGCTCTGATTCAGGAAATTCCCGGGGTAAAATTCACGCCAAAAACATTTGTAGTTGGGGGACGAAGCGCGGTGTGGTGGTGGTTGTCTGATGCCTTATTAGAATATGGATGAAGTCATTGGTCGATTTTTTGTCAGTAGGAAAATTAAAATCTTTGGCTCGGCTTCTGATATGATATTGTTCGCAATTCCGTGGGCGACGCGCGTGAAGGAAAATAAAACCTACGCTTGCAAAATCTAATACTTAACTCTATGAGAGTAAATTTCCTCTAGATATTATTTTTGCATTTTTCCTTTTCCCCGTTCGTTCTTTTTCCCCAGTGAAGCTTCCGTCGATTCATGGCGGCGGGGTAGAACACGACTCTTCAAAAGATGCGCAACCTCAAAATCGTGCGCCTCGCCGAGGTGCAGCTCCAGAATGAGCTTCCTTTGACAGCAACAGCTTGGGATACAGCTTCAGATGCTGTCGTTTGCACATTTGGACCTTCTGCGTCCCAGCCAGTCATAGAGCTCCGCAGAAAGCGTCAAGACGCCTATTTTTCGGACCCCGTAGGGGCGGATGCATTTGAAATAATCGCATCCTGGGATGCGCCATGCCCACTTCCAGATCTGGAATGCGACCGGGTGCTCTCCCTGCACTACTTTGCTGACAATCTCACTGCCTGCCTGGTGCTGGAAGGAGGCGACATCGTCATTGTTCGTGAAGAACCCCTTCCCGGCGAGGACAAGATTGAGATTGTGGGTACTGTTGATGTTGGTATCACAGCTGCTGCATGGTCCCCCGATGAGGAGCTCCTGGCCTTGACTACGAGAGCCAATACATTCCTTTACATGACGAGAGAATTCGAAAATGTTGCCGAAATTACTTTCACGCAGGAGGACCTCCGCGCCTCCCAACATGTCTCTGTGGGCTGGGGAAAGCGCGAGACCCAATTCCAGGGTAAGCGTGCTAAGGCCCTTCGTGATCCTACTGTCCCCGAGAAGGTGGACGAGGGTAAGTTGAGCGGTAGTGATGATGGAAAGACGACCATTAGCTGGCGTGGTGATGGTGCATACGTCGCCGTGAACAGCATCGAAGCTGGCATTCGACGTGCGATCCGGGTTTACTCGAGAGAGGGAACCTTGGATAGCATCAGTGAGCCAGTGGATGGACTGGAAGGTGCCCTCAGCTGGAGGCCTTCTGGCAACCTTATCGCCGGTATCCAGCGCCGCGAAGATAGAATCGACGTGGTCTTCTTTGAAAGGAACGGCTTGCGCCATGGAGAATTCACTCTCCGCCTGACGGAGGAAGAACGGTCGACATGGGCTTCGAATATTCAACTGAGCTGGAACGTCGACTCCACGGTGCTTGCGGTGCAATTACACGACAGAATCCAGTTCTGGACAACCGGCAACTACCACTACTACCTCAAGCAAGAGATTTCAATTGGAGTGAACGCCGAATATCCGTATCCGTTCTCCTTGAAATGGCATCAGGAGAAGGCTCTACGATTTATTGCTGGGGCTTCAGGTGATTATTAAGTTGTAATATCTTCTATGATATATTCTCTAATATGTTACAGGATCGATGTTGGATGTGGACTTCGTTTTCGACGTATCCCAGGGATCCACTACCAGCCCTGATGATGTTGGTGCAGTTGCTGTTATCGACGGCAGTAAGTCCCTCCACCATACATGATTGATCGGATGTATTCTGACGGGCGAAAGAAATCCTCAAATTGACTCCGTTGAGGCTGGCGGGAGTTCCTCCTCCCATGGCTCACAATGAGCTAACACTAGACTCGAACATTGTTGATGTGGCATTCAGCAAGTCGGGGACGCGCATGGCTGTTCTTATGAAGGATCGGTTTTCTATCTTCCTCTGGTCTCTTAAAACGAGACCTGTTCCGTCCCCAATCCTCGAGTCGAGTTATCCGTTGTCGGATGCGCCTGATAGCCGGCCTCGACAGATTGCCTTTGTAAACGAACATGAAGTTTACATTCTCAAGAACGATGGCCCGAACAACATTCAAATTGAACGCACTGCTTTGGAGACACGCACGACTCAGGTTGCTTATCAGGCAGCGGATTCGGAGCAAATACTCTTAATGTTCACCTCCCTCGGACACGAAGCCCTGTGGTTCTCTCACGTTAAGGCGCCTAACCTGCCGGTCACCTACTCCTATGTTTCCATGCCTTCCTCCGAGGAGTTCCAGATTCTACCTTGGCCTGAAAGCCCAACAGTTGATACACACTGGGCTAAGGCTGCACAGATTTCTGAGGACGAGGTAAGCCCTTCTCAGGACTTAGAATACTTTCATAGCTAACTTCTTGAAGCACGTTCTGGTCTCCATGACCAGGTCCGGGGCCTTGTATGCCAACAAGCGACTCCTTGCGAAGAATTGCACTTCCTTCCTTGTAACGCAGGCCCATATCCTGTTTACAACTTCTCTTCACCTGATCAAATTTGTGCACTTGACTACAGTGGAAGGTGAGAATATCGACAATTAATCAGCCATATTAACATCAGCTAATCTAATTATCTAGATATGGACATTCCTCCGGACACCCCTGAGACAGATGAACGATGCAGAAGCATTGAACGTGGCGGACGTCTAGTGACTGTGATGCCCACAACCTTTGCTGTTATCCTGCAGATGCCCCGTGGAAACCTCGAAACCATCTATCCCAGAGCTCTCGTTCTGGCCGGTATCAGAAACTTCATTGACCGCAAGAACTATCGGGCTGCATTCTTGACCTGCCGTAGTCAGATGGTGGATATGAATATCATTCACGACTATGCTCCGGAGCAGTTCATGGAGAACATCCAATTGTTTGTGGATCAAGTAAAGAAGATTGACTTCATTGATGAGTTTATCTCCCGTCTTAGGTATGCAAAACACCTTGTCCTTCAAGGCATACTGGCTGATTACTTTCCAGTGAGGAGGATGTTTCCCAGACTCTCTACAAAGACACCTTGAAAACGCCCAAGGCAGACAACGCGCCGACCGGAATTGTTGCAGCAGCACCAAACAAGGGCAGCAAAGTCAACAAAATCTGCGACGCCTTCTTGTCTACTTTGGAGAAGCGCATTGACACCAACCTGCACAACCTGATCACTGCGCATGTCTGCAAGTCGCCACCAGATCTTGAGTCCGGTCTGCAGTTGGTTGCACGCTTGAGGGGTTCGTACTCCAGACTCCTAATTTTCCTACTCAATACTTACCTCTCCTGCAGAACAATCGCCCGAACAGGCAGACGACGCAATCGAGCACATGTGCTTCTTGACGGATGCTAACCAGTTGTACGATAACGCGCTGGGGCTCTACGACCTGGAGCTCACACTGCTCGTCGCCCAGCAAGCCCAACGGGTAAGCAAGCATCTGTATCCCAACCCTCACAGCATACTGATCAACTGCACCAGGATCCCCGCGAGTACCTACCATTCCTGCGCAAGCTGCAGCAGCAACCCGAACTTCGCCGCTACTTTGAGATCGACAACTACCTGGGCCGGACATCCAAGGCGATCAAGCATCTGCACGCTCTGAACGCCCACGATGAACTCCGCGCCTACACAATCAAGCACGTCCTCTACAAGGACGCCATCGACCTCTACAAGTACCAGGCTGAGCAACTGCGCGAGATGACCCACCTCTACGCAGACTACCTCTTCGACCGGTCCAAGTATAAGGAAGCAGGCATCGGTACGTACCCAACAACCACCCCTTACCCCCAATCCCTACCCACCAAACTAACCACATCCTCCTCCCATCTAGCCTACGAATCCCTCGAGCTCTACACCGACGCCTACAAGAGCTACCACCTCGCCCACCTCTGGCGCGAATCCCTCTACTGCGCAATGCTCGTGCCCCTCACATCCACGGAGCTAACCGCACACGCCACTGCCCTGATAAGTACCCTAGTCGAAGAATCCAAAGACTACACCTCAGCGGCAACTATCCATGCGGACCATCTGCACGACATCCCCGCGGCATCGCGTCTCCTCTGCCGAGCTTCCAAGTTCTCCGAGGCAACGCGCCTCCTCACCCTGCACAACCAATCGGCCCTAATCCCCGAGATAGTCGACAGCGGTCTCGCCGACTCAATGGGCAGCATGACGGACCTGCTCGCGGACTTCCGCTCGCAACTCAACGCCCAAGTGCCCCGGATCCGCGAACTGCGCATCCGCCGCGCCACCGACCCGCTGGCCTACTTCGGCGGCGACCCTACCCTGGGCGACGGTGTCGCGGGGGTGGATATCCCCGACAATGTGTCGTTGGCGCCTACTGACGCTTCTACGTTGGCGGGCCGGTCCATGTTCACGCGGTATACGGGCAACACGGGAAAGACAGGGAAGACGAGCTCGTCGCGGCATACGTCGAAGACGCGGAGGAAGGAGGAGAGGAAGCGTGCGCGTGGTAAGAAGGGGACTGTGTATGAGGAGGAGTATCTGGTTAATAGTGTGAGACGGTTGTTGGAGAGGGCGAATTCGACGGTCAGTGAGGTGGAGGCACTGGTTGATGCGTTGTTGAGGAGAGGGATGAGGGAGCGGGCGGTGGCGGTGGAGAAGGCGATGGGTGAGGTGTTGAAGTTGTGTAAGGAGAGTCGGGAGGAGGTGTTTGGGGCTTTGGTTGCTGAGGCTGTGGGTGGTGCTGATGGGGAAGGTGCTGGTGATGCTGGAGAGGGAGAGAATGGGGCTGGAGCTGCATTTGGGGAGGATGGAGTGCCTCATGCTACTGGGGGGCAGAGTGTGTTTTGGGATAGTGTTACGGCTACGGCGAATGTTGGGAAGGGGAGGGAGGTGCCGGCGGTTAAGGAGATTAAGTTGTCGGCTTTGTTGAACTGAGGGGGAATCTCTCTAGGTATTATTGCATCTGTTAACGTTCTTGTTCTTAGGTTTCATCAAAAAGTCATACATAGAATTATTTGAAAAATTCATGAAATTCGTCATGTGTTTTGGTTTATATTATTAAATGGGTATGCAAAAAGAAATGTTGAAGTGGCCCGAGGGGAAGAAAATTATCTATATTA